TCATCACAACACTCTGTCCTCCGTTGGTTCAGGCTTCTGCCACACAACGAGACACAGATGTAACATCACTTACACGCAACAGAGTGAAATACGCAAGAACAGATTCATGCAGGACGCAACAACCACCAGCCCACTCAGCAGCTGTTGTGGTCATATTCTGTAAACCATGATTCACACCCACAGAGAAATTTGTTGTCCAGTTGCACAAACAATTGATGGGTCAAGCAACGTGGGCCCATGAACGACAACGCCAGTCGATATTAGGCCTTGGAGCCGCCAGTGAGAGCCATTGATTGGAACAAACACCAAAGCCACCAGCGGCCAAAAAGAGCTGCGACAAGGCACTCGTACTTCAATCAAAGAACGGATTCGTCTCGTCCAGGAAGAAGAAAGAATAAATAATATTTTTCCTCCTCACAGTGCCTTCCAGCAATAAAACACCATCATGCAATCCGCCCTATCGGCATTACTCAGGAGCACGAGGCCTCTGCAATGTGTAGAGGGCCATGCAATCAAGCGGATAAGAGACGCTCCACGGTGGCACTCAGACTCCTCCCAGGCAACGCATCAACCAACCGCGAGCAGCATGCCTCTTCATGGGCTCTCCGTTTTGGTTCCAACCGAGACGATAGGCCTTCGTCGCTCAGCACCAACCCCGCGTTGCGACGTGTCGTCAGATAAAACAATTGAGGATGGCAGAGTGCATCATCGGGGAAGTCGCCCTCAAATGTGGGAAACGGCATCGCACCCGCCGGAAACAGGTGCGCATGATGTCCCTCCACGTCAGCCGCGCAGCCTGTCAGATGAAGAAAAATTCGGTGAAAAGGAAGTCAGCGCACTCACCTCCACCCCAGGCAGTTTTATCAGGAAGATCGAATCATCAATTCGGGGCTCCACACTTCTTGAGGAATATCGTGACGCTCTGACACGTCCACGTGCATTTCCACACAACGTCCTACTTCCTTTTCCCCCTCTGCATGCGCCCGCATCGTCTCTTAAGCCACACCCAGGACAGATTAGGTAGCATTTGGCACCTGGTCAGCCAGCGCCGTTCCATTCCTTAAAGCAAGGAAGCTGAAAGCCTCAAAATCAATGGCCATCAATCAGTGATGCCGTTGGCACAGGACCTCCTCGGGCCAACGCCACACACTTGTTCCGGAGCACATGTTGTCCCATGCCTCGCTGACGCCGCCCTCAGCATCCCCTACAGGCACACCGTGCACTCACTCCCAAAATACAGGTGTGGGCCACACCTCAAGAAAACTGCACAATGCGCCTGCAAACTGCCCGTTGAAAGTTGTCATTGTGTTGGGTGTCAGGGGCAACGCAATCACACGTCGCAGCTCCTCAGGAGATCAAGAAGGTGGCAATCAGCATTCAATTGGGATGGGCTTCGCAAACCCCTTGCGATCTTTGTCCGATGGGGTGCTTCAGTGCATATGAAACCTTGACCGCGGGACGGAATGCCTATGCGCTCTAAAAAAATAAGCAGGAACTCACGGGAGAAGGATACATAATATAGCGGAAGCAAAATGCCACGAACAAAAAAGAACGGTGAAAAATTATATGGAGGGATATACATATGAAAATAGGCGTTGATCAACGTGTAGATATATCGATATGGGTATGAGCATAAAAACGATACTTTATTCATTGATGCATCTGTATAGATATGGATGTATCCCTTCGTTCCCCTAAAATTTGACAGATTGCTTGGTTTCCTGATTTATTGAATTGCCATTTTATTGGCTGCACATGTATGTAGATAGGCATTTAGATGTCAGTACTAATATCTATTCAGCGCTGTTGATATATATATATTGCTACTATTCCTCGTGTCTTCTCAAATAAATACGAAGGTCCACACGCCAGCCACCATCGCAGAGCACGTCCGCCCAACGATCGAAGATGTGAAAGAGAGCCCGGCACCCGAAGTGGGAGCCGCAGCGGAGGCCGTGAAGCACACACCACCGCTACGCACCCGCCCCGGGGACAGCGCGGTGGCTCGATAATCCGTTGCCGCCAAGAATCAATAAAACAACAAATCACAGAACCAACCAAACATGGACGCCATAAATGAGAAAAGGAGAGGAGGGCAGCCTGCCAGGAGAAAATACGGCCTGCCGCATCTGCGAGGGGCCTCGTGCCTTCTCGCCGCGCGGAGATACCGCTGGGGCAGAGACCTTCCACTTCAAAGTGGAGACACACCAATATTTCCGTGAAGCACGGCTTCCCCACTTCTCCAATGTCCGCTCCATGCTTTTTTCTGGGCGCCTGCAGAGCCGGGCAGCGGAGTAAATGCCGACCTGCCCCTCCGCACAGCTCCGGTCGGCCGGTTTTCACAATGCCCGGTCGATGCCCGTGGCGTGCCGTGCGGTAGCGGGTCAGTCAGGCATTGCTGTGGCACTGACACCCGCATGCTGGACGGCGAAACTAAACTGGTGGGGATCCCATCGGGCTGTCGTCACCGGGCAAAGTGCGTCTTCTCGGCGGCCTGACCCCTCTGCCGTCGTGACATCAGCGACAGCGTGACGTTCACCAACGCATGTGTGTGCGTGTCATTTTGGGCTCACGGTGCACTGTTTCTCGCTGGCATTCTCCTCCTGTGCAGAGGCGGGGTTTCTGTGTGGGTTTGATGTTCTTCATGCGGAGGTTCGAGCCTTGCAGTGCGTGGCTATTTAATCTGCATTTTTAGTGTCACTACTTTCTTTCTTTCTGTTGGGTGTTTGTGCCGTGTGTGGGTGGTCAACCCCCCGGCACTGCCCGCCTGCCTGTCGCATCAAGGGCATTTACGAAGTGCTTCCTTCTTCGGTGCCGACCGTGGCTCTGTGCTGGAGCGTTCGTGTGCTCGTATGCGGGATGGTGGTCCCGCTTTCGCTTGAGCCCCGAATTCATAGTACGTGCATTCGAACGGAGTGGATGCCGTCAGACCGTCATATTCCCGGCAGCGCCTTCTAGTTGTCGGGGGAACCCTTGCTTGTGGAAGCGCCTAAGATAAAGTACGATTCCGGCTTGCCTTTCGTACGACGCCGTGTGGAAACTGCATGGGAGTGGCTTCGGCCTGGGCCGTGCAGTCTGCGGCGGAGGTGCGATCGGTGTGCCGTCTCTCGCTCTCGTCCTCGCTCAAGTGCTGGGCGGTGGTTCCGGTGGGATTTCTGGCGGTTCCGACTCACCGGGAAAGTTAACTTCCGCAGCGCCTGGTAGAGCGCGTAATGCCATGGGCGTTAACCATGTGCGTCACGACACCAGTGCAGCAACTGCAGTGCTTGCCGCACACCGGGCAGTCTGCCGGGCATCGGATCGTGGCGGGGTGAGGTCCAGCGGGAGGAGGAGGCGTTTCCGTGCAAAGTTCTTTGCGTGCCTGCTGTGCGGCATCCGCGCCGCACCAACGGCATGTGCGTGGGATGGCGGGTTGCAGTGGTCTTAGCAGCCATCCGTATTGTGTGGGAAACTCCGGTGCGGAGGCGGTCCAGTGCGGCCTCTTCCCCACGAGTGAGGGTGGCGTCCGTGCGCGTGGGTTCCCAGTCGCCTGATACAGTGGAGCGGTGAGCTTCTGGCTTGAGCTGTCGGGCACAAATAATACCTTCGGCCAGTGCGACGATGCTGGTGCTCCATGTGCCTCTGAGCTGTGCGAGGTCG